CAGCTATTGCTTCTTTAGTACTCAGAATTTTCTTACTGTGAATATCCTCTTGCATTTTAATGAAGTCACCTCTGAGTCTTCTTTTTAATTCAGTAACATGCCAATTTCTTTATTTCTCATGGGATGAGTTATATTTTACAGCTCATAAATCATTTTGGTAGTTCTTTCCCTTGCTCTCTCAAATCTTTCAACAGCTTCTAAAATATGAGTATGAACTGGATAAAACATTCTAGTTCTGTGCAGAGAAGTAAAACATCTCCATGCTTCTCTTAGGAGATTTGTTCAACAATGGGCATCTTAATGTTGATTGCAGCATGCAAAATTGTTTCTTTTTGATGAAATAGAAGGATATAAGAAGAGTAATGGAGGGAAGGGAAGGGAAGGGAAGGGAAGGGAAGGGAAGGGAAGGGAAGGGAAGGGAAGGGAAGGGAAGGGAAGGGAAGGGAAGGGAAGGGAAGGGAAGGGAAGGGAAGGGAAGGGAAGGGAAGGGAAGGGAAGGAAGGGAAGGGAAGGGAAGGGAAGGGAAGGGAAGGGAAGGGAAGGGAAGGGAAGGGAAGGGAAGGGAAGGGAAGGGAAGGGAAGGGAAGGGAAGGGAAGGGGAAATATTTCTTGCTGTAATATTGTCATAACAATACAATTCTTTACCACAACTAAAATTTTCAAGTAGTTAAGGCATTTTAATGTTAAAATTTTATTTTATGCTGTAGTCTTTTCTACTCCAGGGTCTGTTCAAACCAAATTATTAGTTCCCAGAACTGTCTTAGATACAAGAGAAACTATTATTCCACATCTGCAATGTTGAGATATATGACTACTGGGATAAAATAGGGCATGGGCTACACTGTGTTAGTTCAAACCAACTGAATTTAGCATACTGTTAGCTGACAACTCTCACTTAAGAATCACTACTGGCATTATTGATATTTAATAATGCCAGTTTAAATGCATTACTGAATTGAAAAGTTGAGCTCTCCAAAATGTGCCTTATTTACTTTAGAAATTATTCCTTTTTTAGCAATGGAAATAATGTGGTTTCTCAGAAGTGATGGATACTGCATTCCTTTTGCTGCTCAGGATTCTTATCATCCTTTTCAGACAATTGAATTTCTTCCATTTGTAAAATCTATTACCAGAGGAAGGATTGCAAGTAAAATCCAATGACTGGAATCCAAACTGCTTTGGCAATATAGGAATACCTCATTGATCCATACCAGTTCCTAGGAATATCATTTAAAATATTGTATTTACTTGGCTTTAGGAATTAGCACTTGATTAATATCACAGGAAATCTCATGAGATGTATAAATTCATTATATTCATAGAACAGATTTCACTAAGATATTCTTCAGCTTGAACCAATAAAATGTTTTGATTTTTGGAAATGTCCTAAATAAATGCAACAATATTATGTCAAAAGGCTGAATAACCAGAGAGACTGCAGAAATCAGTTACAAGCAGAACATCTCTATCCAAAGAAAGGATTTACTTTAAATGAGATGTGAAGCAACATTTGCCATAATCTAAGTGCAAATATTAAACTGATGCTAGTAAATATGAAAATACTAATAAAAATTGTGACTTCATAAATAATTATTTGCAGAATGACTAAAAGAAAGTAATAGCCTTTTCCAGACTTAAAAATTAATGAATTGATGACACTCTATTGATTGGAGCATTTACTGCACCTTCAATATGTCTAATTAATGAAACTGTTCACACAATTAAACATAGTGCTTAGCAGGATGACATTATGTCCCATTTTTTTCAGACATCACCACATTCAAATGTCTCCATGCTCATGCAGTGGCCTACTGAGGATCTTACTCCCTCTCCCAGTGAAGTCAGGGAGTGTTTCTCATTAACTTCTGGTATCTCATGCTTATCTATATATCAATATAAAGCTACTTATGAGACCTGTAAACTACAGGATCTGATACTTGATGTAATAACACTGCTAGAAATCAGATGTAAAAGAATACTTGGTTCATTTATTTTATCAGTTAACACTAAAACTAACTTTAGTGATGAAAATGTAGATGGTTACTTGGATAAATAAGATTGTCGTATTTTGCAAATAACTCAAATTTTCATTTTAGTATGGTCCAGTACAAAGGTATAGATCCACATATAGGTAGTCCATGATATTATAACAGAGAATAATGACCCATAAGGCAAAGAGTCTGAAAGGGATACGAAGGTCCCAGTAGAAAAAATAGCATGAACTCTTAAGTGGTTCTAATATGGCAAGAAAAACTAATGCAATATTTGAACATGTTAAAGGAAAGGAAAAGCAGAGTTTATGCCACTTGATGAGATAATTTTTGATCCTTTAAACTACCTACATTTTAAAGATGTTTAAAAAAGGACAGAAATGGAATAAGAAGACCCATAAAGCCCAGGCTAATGATAACGACTTAAAGCAAGAAAGTAGAGGGGCCAGATCATCTTTAATTTTCAGAAAAAGGACTAAGAGACTGGAAACTACAGCAGAAAAAGACACCAAAAGAAACAGAAGATGGACTCAGAAGGCAGAGTAATTCAACTTAGAAACTATACAATTTTTTGGTGACGATGAGTGGATTTTTCAACTCTCAGTGTTTTCAGGTGAAGACTAGACACCTTCCTCAAAAGTGTTTAGGAAAATATGAGCCATTTTGTCAAATAGTTATTAGAGTGTAAGAGTAGCTCTGTGTACTTTTTCAATACATGAAAGAAATAGACTTCTTAATTGAATATTCTGTTCTGTCCTCCTGCAAAGCTAAAAAGGTCAGTGGAGCAAGGATTTCAGCAAAAGGAGATCAAAGTTCTCTAGCTCAATGAATCCTGGTTCAAGGAATCCACTGTTAATCAAGCATCAAATAATGGAATTTGATCCTTGTCTGAACATTCAATCTATAAATCCGAGAAAATAAAGTTATGATGCCAAAATTTTTATTGTCATATTTGTAGTGCCATCCTCATGATCTCATATCAGATATGTATTGCAATAGTTTAATGAAACATCCTCAAAAGGACATGAGGTTACTGTCAGTTTTCTTGTTTGTATGAACTTAGTCAACACCAAAATGTTACTTACACTTTAGACATGTTAGAATACCAAGGGTAGCAAAAAGTCTTAGTTTAGCAGATGGTTTTTTCACTGCAACCCATCAAACAAATGTAGTATTCTGCATTTCAAAATGTCATGTAAGGAAATATCTCTTAATTCTGAAAGCTACCAGTCTTTGGAAACTGATATCCTATAGTAGTTCATAGAATACAACCATGGTTAGTACACATTCAGCTGCCACTGTAGATTCCAACCTGAATGCCCACCCTAGGAAGGGCATGCTTCACTCTCAATCTTGCAACTTCATTTGTTATTCGGGAACTTCTGTCAACCATCTCTCCTTTTCACCCCTCAGATAAAATCAGCCTTAATGTGCTGAGTGAAGCTGTAATCTGTAGGTTGACAACACTATGACCCATTTAGACTTTATTTGCCAGCTTCTCTGGGAGAAGAATATAACAAATCCACTGCAAAATCCTGGACTTTGAAGAATTTTTGAATAATTTGAACTTCATAGAAGAAAATCCTAAGGTTAAAATAATGTATGAAAACGTGCTCCTAGCCAGTCTTATTCAACATTTGAACTCAAGTTTTATCCTAATGTGATTTGCCATATTTGGTTATTACAGGGGCTAGGTACTGTGGAATTGTTGATAAAGTAATGCAGCTTTCTCTCTCTCTCGCTCTCTCTCTCTCTCTCTCCCTTTTCTGGCTAAAGTTAGAGCCTTACTTGACTTGAATCTAATAGTATTTGACTGAAAAGGAAATCAGAAGTCAGACAAGAATTTTTCAGCCCCAGAAAAGATAAAAGTGAGTTACTGCTTTAATTGGCTGCTGAATTAGCTCATATGAATAATAGCTCATGGTCTTTTCAAGTTCTGTGTTTTAATAAGACTCCTTTTTACTTCTTTGTCTGAAGATTTACTGGAGAAGATTCATTCCTTCTGGACACAGTGATTACATTCAAACTCCAGATGTGAAAAAAAGAAAATGCTATGCAAAGAAAAAAGCATATGTAGTATAGGCTACTGGTAGCACTAGTCTTTAACCACCTTCTTGATGTAGCAAACACAAAGGTCTATTTTAATTATGTTACAGGACCATAACCAAAGGGGCTCTTCATTACAGCGGATTGCACCACAGGGGTCTTTGCAGAGCTGCACATCAAAATAAAAACAAGAAAATTCAAAATGGGACAGAACAGATATATGCTAGCCAGCAGAACCATCACCCATATGGCAGAGCTGGAACTCAAGCAGTACCTGGACTTTTGCAAGTTCAGAGTTGAACCAGCAAACATCCAAAGATGTTGTGTGGTCCAAAAACTGGATTTCTAGTGAGCCCCTTGCCTAGAGTACCCACAGGCAGATACTACCAAAATACACTCGGAGTATATCACCAACCAAAATGAAAGATTAATAAAAAATGAAACATTTCTTTATTCTCTGTGAACAACTTTTGCTGTGAATTAATAAGCCAGTAGCTTGCTACCTGCATTATCTCTTCCTATAGTCCTTTTCCTTGCAAGCAGTATCATTAAAGGTATTTATCTAGCCTCCAGCCACCCACAAACTGTTAATGCTTTGCCTTCCATGGCATCAGCTGAAGCACTGCCTAAGCAATATTTACCCTTACTGTACCCAACTATAATACTTGGAGGCAGTGACTATGTAAAAGGCATACTGGGGAGCAAATTCCCGCAAGAGAAAAGAACCTCAAAAGACTCCATTGCATTCTACTCTCAGCACAAAGCACCCTCATGGACCCAACCCATTTCAAATAGGAGTATAGCCATTAAAGCACTCGTCATAAACCTGAAACTCCCTACTAGACAAAACAAACAACCCCGCCCAAGGGACAGGAAAAGACACATGGGGCATCAGTATATCATTTAATCTCCCTCCTGGCAATCTCTCCTGTAGAAGGGTGATAATAATCTCTTGTGCCTATGTGTTTTGACACAATCTTTAATCACTATTTTTTCACAGGACCACTGCTTCATTCAACAAACAGCTAATCAATATTTTGCTTTTACCTCATAACTCATTGTGTGGCCCATGCTTTGTTTACTGCCCATTATTCAATTGTGTTATGATGGAAGAATTATTAATTTCCTCCAGGGCTTCTCAATGGTGCTCATCACTTCAACATCTGAGTGCTGCAGAAATGCAAATTAATTTAGCTTCATAAAAATACATGGTGGCAAAGAAAAGGAAGCATTGCTGTCTAAAATAAAGGAAGAAGAGGCAGAGAAAGACTAAGGAAGAAGGTATTCACTAATTTTACATGTCCTATCTGATGCATCAAAGATGTAATTTGAAAGTATTTAACAATATTTCAAACACAGAAGTTGCAGCACCAGTCACAGGTGTGAGTGTTGAGCAAATTGGATTTGAGACTCTAACTATGGTCATTAAAATTAGATAATTAGAAGCTATTAGACTATGGGAGGTTCCACATACAGAGATTGATAAATAAATAAATAAATAGAACACCAAACTGTTTTAAGGGGCTATATTAGCAATAGACAGGAAAAGTCCTGTGCAACAGTGCACAATTAGGTCACATGGCCTTCCTTTACCCTTCTTCATTCATTAACTACTTTTCAGTTCAAGCAATAAATGAGTCAGGAGTCATACAGGCATCACCTGCCTTTCTTGCACAGCCCTACTGTGTCCCCTGAGCAGGTCCATCCTGCACAACACTTGAGCCAGAAATCCTGCATAAAAACAATATGTGATCACACATGTATCATAAGGGGACTGAATTAAGGTTGCCAAGCAACCACCTCCCCACATTATGCCACAAATCCTTGTCCTTCATCTTTTCAGCAAACAAATGCCAAGCCCTGTCTCACAACTGTACCCTTTCCCTAGTCTGCCTCTGAGACCCTAATTACCCATGGTCCCAAAGGCTTCCTCATTTCAGTTTCTTTGTCCAGCCAGTACCAGCCTTCTCTCATTACTCCAGTTGTTATTTTGCCTTTGTGTTCTTCATAGTTAGCATTTAGTCCATCTCATTTCCTATTTCCCCGACCAGCTCTCAATCCCAGGAGATGACAGATGCTGTTAAAAAAATAAAACATCCTCAGTAAGGATAGAAACTTCAGAAATTCTAGCTGTTAAGATTCTAGCATATATATCCAAAAACTGTATAAAGTACTTTTTTTGTTTATAAAACATTAAAATGTCACCAAGATTAACAAGATTTTTACAGTGAAAAGACAGTGAACTCCCCTACTACCAAAACAATCGCCTGACAGATTTCAGTTATGTATTGCAGAATAGGGCATGCTAGACTGTTTAAAAACAAACAAACAAACAAAACAGAATGAGCAGAACGTTATCATATTGCTTGAAGTTTATACTCAAGAACAGCTAAGATGTCTCAGTTCATTTTTTTTTTAAACAAAAAAAATATTCAATGGACATGCAGTGCTGAAAATGTCAAATGAAGATAATGAAGTCCAGCAAAGCTGTGAGCAAAAACAGTTGTTATTGAAATTTCCTGTAAACTTTTTATGGGCTAAGAGCAAGACTATAAATAGAAAAGTTCTCCTACGCTTCATTCTCAAAGTTGTTTTCTGCTACTGTTTCTCTCCAAGTGTGGATTTCACCAAAATGTAACTGACATCTTCAGATTCTATTTTATCTATCTTCAACTTATTTCTTGCTTTATTGTCATCTGTTGTCTGTACTGTGATTAATCACTGAGACAGTAAAAATCAATTTTATTTGCAAAAACAATAGATGATGAGCTGAAATCAGGAGCAGAATCCTTGTTTGAGAGTCAGCAATAACATAACACTTATTCTCCTAAAATGCACATATCTATAGATATGTCTAACTAGATAGAGAAAAATGGCCTGTAATGTACTTGGAGCATCAAATGGTCTTCTCCAAGGGGTGTGAGACAAAAGGCATGATGAAACAGCTGATAACCATATTTTAGTCACCAAAAAGTAAAATAAATAAATGTGAATTAAAATAAAGTCACGAAAAAGAATATCCCAAGAATAGAAAAAATAGCAAAAGAAAGTTAAAATAATTGTGTATGTGTCACCACAAATAGCAGGGTAGACAGAACAAAGAGAATCAGGCCTTTGCAGCATAATTATTGCCTATTGTTTTTTGTATGTGGCATTTTGCTGTCCAGAAAGACTGCAGTCAAGAAACCAAATGAGAAATGTGACAGCGTGCACCTCCTTTCAAATGAAAGGGCCTTCTTGGAGGACACTTACAAACAAGGGTTTCTAGTCTTGGAATGACTTGTTATTCAGATATGCTCAATATTGTCACTTCTGTTCCAGTAAAATTTCATTGTGAATCACTGAGGTGCCATGAACGGCATTGTCATCCAACCGTCTAATCTAACTCCTTCTGCATCATCTGCTTGTCCAGAGAATTACATTAAACTCCTCCCATTTTAAAAGGAGAAATGGATCTTTACTTTAAAGAGTAAAGAACCCTGTGATTCCAGGATTGGAAATGTACTTAGCATCCTAGATCTAGAGATGAACATAATAGCTCTTAGTAGGATATATTCTGCTTTAATTGGATTTATTTTCTTAAAATAAGCAGAAGAAAATTGTTCTTTATACAGTAAAAAGCCAACCTTTGGAACTGGCTGCCACAGGATATTGTAGAAAATAAAAGGCATATGGGCTCAGGCACACTGCACAAGCACTTAGAAAAAAAAAAAAAAAAGAAAAAGGGTTACTGAATAGGAAGATTGTGTCATGCTCAAGAATCTATTGAGAAAGGTCAATGGTTGAAATGATCCTTGGGGAAGAACTGCACGTGCTTATCTAACTCTTGGCCTTCCTGTAGCATTCACATACAATTAGGAAAAATACGGAGAGGCTGGACTACTAGACTGTTCCTAAGTGTGTAGAAAACATAGGAAACCACATTTGTAGAAACCAAATTGCATGCACTTAAAAGCTGGAAGAATAACAGGAGCACTATCATAGAATCATGGCATCATAAAACGGTTTGTGTTGGAAGGCACCTTAAAGACCATTAGATCAGTTAGTTCCAACCCCCCTACACCAGGTTGCCCAAAGCCCCATCCAACCTGGTCGTGGACACTTCCAGGGATGGAGCATTTGTCTTCAGAAGCGCTCCAGCCCTCTGATCATCCTCATGACCCTCCTCTGGACCCACTCTAACAGGTCCATGCCCTTCTTGTGCTGGGGGCCCAGAGCTGAATGCAGCACTCTAGGTGCAGTCTCAAAAGTGCAGAGCAGAGGGGACAGAATCACCTCCCTCGACCTGCTGGCCATGCTGCTTTTGACATAGCCCAGGATACGTTTGGCTTTCTGGGCTTTAAGCACACAAAGCACAATATCATATAGGTTTGCTCTCTGTTACTCCTCCTACATGTATGTTTATGGCTGCTCTTCCTAAAAAGTTTCAATTTTAAGGTCAGCTCTTCCTTTAAAAATAAATAAATAAATAAATAAAAATTAAAAAAAAAACAAAACAAAACACTGTAAACAGGAAACTACAGAAGAAAGAATTTAGTGAGGAGAAATGCAGAAGAATATGGAACTGCAAACATGAAGGCAGGCAAAAGTCTAAGGATTACAGATGTAAAAATAAGATGTCAGAGGGGGGCATCAAGCTGGGCACCTCTAACAGCACTTCTGTGAGCACTCTGAAAATACACAGGTAACTGGGGAGACTGCCCAGTGGTGGCCTACCTGGAGATGGGTCAGGATGAGAAGACTGAAATGCCCTCACAGGTATGGGATTTCCCCTCAGGCTATCTCCTTCAGGAGCTTTTGTCGACCAATTTGGCCAAGGCAAGAATGTCATTGACAAGAAGATCCTGTTATCCTGTGAGGACTTAGCAGGGGAGAATATACAATTTAAAGGCCACTGGCATATGACCACTTGGTAGATCTAACACAATAGCTCCCACATTCTTGTGAACGTGGTGTCCTCACTCAGAATCACACAGCTGGTTTCTACCTCAACCTCCACCATCTACCCCCACAAGGCCTAGGGTTTTTTATGTATTTGCAGCACAAGACAGAGTCTAGGTGCAACTGAGTCACTCCCATCATGCAGCCTTGTGCAGCTGTAGCTCACATCTCGTGGACAAGGGCATCGAGGGAGACCTGATTATGTACAATCCCCATGTTAGCATTAAGCCATTGCTTAGAGATTTCTAGGGAAAAAAAAATCCACAAATACTGTAATACCGTTATTCAGCTTTCCCACTGTGATTCTGAATGCTGCTGAAAGGAACACCATGTGCAGTCGTGCAAGTATAAAAGCCTGCATGATACCAGGCTAACACTAAGGTATTCCAACGCCTGGAATGAGCAGCAGCTGAAATCACTAATGGCAACATTGTTTGCAGCTGGCTTACCAAGCCACTATCAAGCCATAACAAGATGATTTTTAGATGGGCTACGCCCAGCAAAAAAAAGCACAATTTTGGAAGTGGAGAAATGCTAGTTGAAATGTAACAGCATGTTGCCACTCATATGTTGCATAGGAAAATGAAAGGATAAGAACTGCATAATTCAAAAAGAAAATGGTGACCATGTTCATACACGATACAGTTGCATGTAAGTATCAGTGCTTGCTCTTTCTACCAATGGACCCATCAGTACACAGATGGGTCCATTTTTTATTTTTTTTTTTAACTGCTTGGAATAATATTTGTAGCATTCTGTAGGAATTTAAAAAAAAATAAAAAAAAAATAAAAAAGCCAAAGTGTTACAAAAATTACAGAATCACAGGTTTGTAGTCTCTATTTTCACATTAAAATATGTAGGGTTTAGTTGCTTACTGAAATACACACTATGCTAATTTATTCTAATCTATACTTAACCTGCTGTGAGGAATAAGTCTGGACAAAAGATTTTTTCACCCATGCTAGAAAAATATTCTGGCAAATGTTCTCACAAGAAAATCTTTATTGTCCCCACGCTCAAGGGCACAGAGGACTGTGTCAAGGTCCTGTTTTATGAGAACAGAATGAAGATAAAATATCAAATAGTCCTCACCAAGGGACCACCATCCGTTTTGTTATGGATATAGGGAGAATCTGGTGGAAAAAACAGCATATGTGTACATAATTAAAAACTGTATTATAATATTTATGTGTAGGGGAGTAATTAAGGTTTCACAGGCACCATTTTTTCTGACTTTTGAGAATTACATTTTACAATCTCACTAGTGTTTTTCACCATAGGTTTGGGTGAGGTGTGAAAGCTATTGAGATGAAAAGAAGCTAATCATGAGCTAATTACTGATTAATTTACTAAAACTGCATAGACACAAAGAGAACTTGCTTGGGAAGGCCTATAGAAGACTTAGGAGAGACCAAAGCAAGAAATCAGCTGCTATAAGTAAGGTCCATTACATTTCCTAATGACAAAGGCTAAGTGTAAACAAGCCTCCGCAAAGTCAATAAGAGCTTAATTTCTCAAGTTATTTAAGTAAGATAAACAAGGCTGCACAGCCTCCCAGCCTATGCAGCAGAGAGGCACAAAGCGCAGGCAGACAGCAAGAGATTCATGACCTACTCCCACCTCTGCTGTTTGTAGGTGCCAGTGCAAACAGCATTTTCAATGCCAATGTAGTTCATTTACCTAGCAACAATAGCCTTCAAAGTGCTGCATAAACATTTATATTTCCAGCATCGCTTCCCTCTCTCCCTTGTCTCCAAGGGGGTGAAAATTAAGATTCTTTCTAGCAAATGAAGAAAAGAACAAATGAAAAACAAAACAACAAAAAAAAAGGAAGGAAAAAAAAAAAAAAAAAGACTTTTCAATAATCTGGCCAACACCACAGAAGAAACCCCAGACATATCCTACTGCTATTCAGGAGTAGCTAAGGAGTGCTGGTGCATCCTTACAGCCCATACATCTGCAGACCCAGAGGTAGGGCTGGGCTAAGGGAGCCTTTTAATGTCAACTGAAAGAAGGCCCAGACTGTGAAAGAGCACAAGTCTGGGACATGCTGGAGCTTAATTCTGTTCTTTCCAATGAAACACAGCATTAAAAGGTGACATGATGTATGGCATATCTAATATATTGCTCCCATCTACACCACGGCTTTGACACGGCAGTGATTGCCCGGCGATTTCTTGCACCACTTTCCGAGGGGGAGCGGCGAGCTGCTGGCAGGGGGGTGGTTGGACCGGATAATCTCGGAGGTCTTTTCCAACCTTTATGATTCTGTGATTGCCCCCCTCCCGGCCTCACAACCCAGGCGGGGGGCTCGGGGCGGGCTGCTGCCATGCGGCGGGGCCGGGAGCCCTCCCGCTGCGCCTGCCGCGCCCCGCAGCTGCTTTCCCTGGAAAAAAAAAAAAAAAAAAAAAAAAAAAAAAAAAAAAGAACGAAACGGGGAAGGCAGATGCCAGGGCGGCTTCGCTGCCTGCTGGGCGTGCCGGGTGCGGCGGCGGGGGATGGGGAGCCGAGCCGAGCCGCGTTATGGCAGCACCGCCCCGCTGCATCCCCATCCCCATCCCCATCCTCATCCCCCCGCACCCCTCCCCGGGCCGAGCCGAGCCGTGCCCGAGCCCCGGTGCCGGGAAGGCGCTGGGGAGAGGCTGCGGGAGCCGGGCGGGGCCGGCAGGGCGCCCCCACCCCCGCCCCGCCATGCGGCTGCCGCGCTGCGCTGGCGCAGGGCCGGCGGGGGGAGGAGATGGGGGAGGAAAGGGGGGGAAGGCGCTGCCCTGCTGGGCTGCACCCCTGCCTGCCTCCGCCCGGCTGCCACATCCCTGCAAATCCCTGCCCCATCACTGCCCCAGCCCTGCTCCATCCCTGTCTGCCCCATCCCTATCTGCCACTTCTCCAGCCCTATCCAGCCCTGCTCCATCCTTCTTCCCTGATCCAGCCCTGCCCCAGCCCTACTCCATCCCTACCCACTCCTTCTCCATCCATCCCTGCTCACCCCTGCTCACGTTTGCTCCATCCACCCCTGCTCCATCCCTCTTTGCCCCATTCCTGCCCCACCCTGGTCTCTCCATGCCCCATCCTTGTCCCCTCCATGCCCCCTCTGTGCCCCTCCCTGCCCCCCTCCCTTTTTTCCACCCTCCCTGCGCTCCTCCCCCCCCAGCCCGCCCCCTCCCCTCCTTTTCCTCCCCTCTCCTCCTTCAGCACCGTGGGCAGCTCCCGGCCGCGCCTGCCCTGGCCGCTCACAGCCCGCAGCCTCTCGAGCCGCGGGCGGGGGGCTCTGGGGACCCCCGCAGCCCCTCGAGGCGTCTCCCTCCCGGCAGCCGGCCTCTACCCCCCCGGGATAAGCCCCCCTCGCTGCAGGCAGCCCCGCGCAGCCACATCTCCGCCCTGCCGCGCACCCTCCCCGCTCCCGCAGCCTCCCCTCCGAAAGGTTGTCTCGCCCCAAAAGAGACAAGCCCCAAAGGACAGCTGTCCGCGGGGGCAGGGTGTCCCCAGGAAGGCAAATCACCCCCCCCAGGGTTGCCTCCCTCCCGGTACGGACCAACGAGCCAAAGCTGCCCCAGCGGGGAGCCGTGGCAGCACCTCCTGCGCTGCGCCCCACGCGCGGTGAATCACGGCAGCGCTCTGGGCACAGAGTGGGGCTGCTTCCTTCCCCCAGCCCGCTTCCAGACCGTGCCGCTCTCACTTAGAGGAAAAACCTAGCTCCTGCAATTCAGAAACGATCGATAGTGACTCAAAAGAGAAAGCTGGCCTCAGGCTCCGGGCCCTGCTTTACGCAAAAATGCTCTTACTGACCCTGGAGGCAGCTCGAAAAGAATAAACCTGCGTTACCTGTCCTGGGGAAGCGCACGCAGAGGAAGAGCATTGCAGCTCGTGATGGCACAGTGCATGGGCTGAGCAGCTGCAGATGGCACTGCTGGAGGAAGGAGAACGGTGCCAGTGCCCTGCCTGCTCCGGCAGGACACAGCTCCTCCCTGAGACCTCTGCTCGCTCACCACCTTTCTCACCCACCCCACAAACCAACCCCACAGGTAGCATCCTCCGAACTCCGAGCTGAAAATTCACCCGATGGCTGCCTCTCTGCCAGCAGCCTGGGAGTCTGTTATCACTGCATGCCTTTGACAGTAAGGCTGGTTTCCCCCTGGGAGAGGCGAATGAGCTCCAGTTGGGCAGAGCAGGACGAGATGGCCTTGCAAGCGTGGTGCATCGTCCTTGGACTCCTCCAGGCCAGCAACTGCTTCCAGCCCATGAGGTGTGCATGCACATCCCTGCACTACCATGTTTCTAGCAAGCATTTCAGATCACCACCCACATGTGTTAGCCATCAGTCACGTCACTGGCTTTCCTCTTGCCAGGGACAGAGAATCCTTAAAATGAATAAAAAGGAATCCTTAAAATGAGTCCATCCCCTTTTGTGTAATAGTCTTATTAGGTGACATTCTGCACTCTTCATCAAGTAAATCAGGCTCACAACTTTCCAGTGTTCATCAAGGAAGTGGTTACTGGCACTTCTTTTCACATTTATCCTGCTTTGGGCTTCCCAGAGCCCTTCATGGGTGTGAGCAGGTCCAGCTGTCATTCCCCAGGTTTTGGCATGATGTGAGTTGTCCAGGGTTAGGTTTGGGCACTCTAAAATAAATATGTGTCATAAAACAATTGTATATGGTATCTGCATGCAATTGTAGGAATGAGAGGCAGAGGAAAAAGTAATTAAGCAGCTGTTTTATGGATATGGTTTATTTAAATGGTTTATTGAAACCCTTTCCATTGGTGATCTTTTTTCTTTTTTTTTTCTTTTTTTCTTTTTTTTTTTTTGGTCAGACCTTTGGAATAAAATGTGTTAAAATGAATTTCTGCATGTTTCACAGGTAGCAACAGCAGCGCCTTCAACACCAATAGGCTTTTTTCATGTAAGACATAAAACATTTGACATGGAATGTACTATTAAAGCCAGACCGAGGGGGGAGAGGCATTCAAGGACTGATTTCCATTTCAAACTGCATTCTGGCACTTTGTACTCCAGCACCATTGGTGGATCAATATTTAATGCCCGGAGATTCTGGCTCTGCAGGAGTCATGTCAGGGGACCTCTAGAGCCAATCTGCTTGGGTAGAGGAGTGATAATTATTCATGGGCTCCTGCCTCTTGCTCCTTCTCTTGCACAGCCCCACTCTGCTGACTCAGTGCCTTATTCAGTCTTCTCTCCCTCTCTCCACTGCTGTAGCTGGACCCCTTTGCCTTCACCACCTCTGAGAGCCTGCACATCCCACCATGGCTAAAACAGCAATGGGTAAGAAACCGCATCTCTTTTCCTTCAGCCAGGACAACTCCTGGGAGCACTGCCTGCACCGGCAGCTCTTCTCAGTGGCCCTAAAGTTTAGAA